ATGCTCTGTGTGTTATGAAACTGACAAGGCATCTGAGTTTGAGTCTTGCTGTACTTTTAGAGACTAGTATTACTTAAGAAAATAGACGAGCTGGACGACACCCTCTGAGATCTTCGGAGTCCGTTAGAAAGTGGATAAACCTGCTTTTTGCATTGGGGATTTTTTTACATTTTTAAATTTATTTTGGTATTGATTTCTTGGGGGAAGCTTGGAAATGTGTTCTGGAAGGAATCGAAGGACCCAGGCCGTTGTGTGCATTGTGTTTCTGTTTGTTTTATGCTCGTCTGAAGGAGAGGTGAGTTGATCCTGTTACTGTATGTTGCACACATGGACGTTCACCAACATTGCAAAAGAAATCTGTTCATGTTTGATAGCTGTGTGATCCCAGAAAATGTATCTTTGGGAAATTACAAACAGTTTATTATTGTTGTTGTACTTTGATACGTCTGAATGCTTATTCAGCAAGTCATTCAATCTATTTAATTCTCAGACATTTTCAAAACTAATAGTTTATGACGAAGCAAACTGATGCGGTTTCCTTGACATGTGAAGATTGTGAAAATGTATTTTTATGTGCAGCTACATTTTATATGATTGTATCTGTTGTTCTGTAACTAAAAATATATACTTCTGTTCAAAAGTTTGGGGTCAGAAATGCTTTTATTTGGCAAGGATGCATTAAATTGATAAAAAGTGACAGTAAAGACATTTATAATGATATAAAATGTTTCGATTAAAAAAAATTCTGATCTAAATATTTTTTATTCATCTAAGAATTCTGAATAAATGTATCAGTTTCACAAAATTATGAAGCAGCCTAAACTGTTTTCAACACTGATAATAATAATAAATGTTTCTTGAGCATCAGATCCTCATATTAGAGTGATTTCTGAAGGATCATGTGACACTGAAGACTGGAGTAATGATGCTGAAAATACAGCTTTGATCACAGGAATAAATTACACTTTACTATATATTCACAGATTTTAATATTGCAATAATATTTCAGAAGATTACTGTTTTTGCAGAATTTTTGATCAAATAAATGTAGTCTTGGTGAGCAGAATAGACTTCTTTCAAAAACATTATTATTTTTACTTTTAAAGTATAAGCATGACATTTTGACACTTGTTTGTATCAGGAATACAAATAGGTCCTAACGGTAAGAGTGGCGCCACAGACACCTGAGTGTGTTTTATATAAACACAGCCCGAGCCACTCATACACACTTACAGAAACAATTCCTACATCACATCCCAGTGAAAGCCTTTGATTTCTTCCTCCTGCTTTCTTCTGCTCGCTCATCTCTCACGCTGTTCCCATAGACCTCCAAGTTAGACATCAGTTTTTTTTTTCTTTAAGACTGTTCATAACTTTTTAAAAGCAGCTACTGTACATAAAAACGCATATTGGCTTAATCTGATACCGAAAAGTAAGTCTGATTACCCCTTAACTATTAGTGGGTCATGCTAGATCTTAAGACACTGTCTATGTTTATGCAACCGGCCCCTGATCTTCATGTAATGAAGCGAGTGTTACACTTTATTTCGATAGTCCACTTTAGACATTCTACTCACTATAAGTAACTTTGCAACTACCGGTATGTGAAACTGGAAAAATTAGAATATCGTGCAAAAGTTAATTTATTTCAGTAATTCAACTTAAAAGGTGAAACTAATATATTATATATGACTCATTACATGCAAAGTGAGATATTTCAAGCCTTTATTTGTTATAATTATGATGATTATGGTTTACAGATATGAAAACCTTTTCACAATATTCTAATTTTGAATAGGCTTTATGCACAGCTTCACTACTTCCTGAACTTCAGCCAGCCCTTTGTTTCCTGTCTGTCATTATTGGACAAACTGATTTATCCAGGTGTGCCTGGCCTCAGTAACAATAATCAGGCACACCTGGATTAATCAGTTTGTCCAATAATGACAGACAGGAAACAAAGGGCTGGCTGAAGTTCAGGAAGTAGTGAAGCTGTGGCATAAAGCCAATTTGGGGTTTTCATATCTGTAATCCATAATCATCAAAATTATAACAAATAAAGGCTCGAAATATCTCACTTTGCATGTAATGAGTCTATATAATATATTAGTTTCACCTTTTAAGTTGAATTACTGAAATAAATGAACTTTTGCACCATATTCTAATTTTTTGAGTTTCACCTGATGTCAACTAACTCTCATTAGAGTATTAGTAGACTGTTAGGTTAAGGTTATGTGTTATGGTTCGGGTTAGTAGAATAAGTTGACTTGTAGTTGCCAAGTTACTTATAGTGAGTAGAATGTCTAAAGTGGACTATCGGAATAAAGTGTAACCTGAGTGCATGTTCCCTAGGGATCCGTCGGCTGTTCCCGGCCGTGCTCGTGCCCTCGGGATCCTCCCTCCTGTCCGCTCGGGGTCAGTCGGGTGCTGGACGAGTGCGGATGCTGTAAGGTTTGTGCTCAGCAGTTTAACCAGCCCTGTGGCCCTGACCGACCCTGCGACCACATCAAGGGCCTGCGCTGCCACCTGGGGGCCGGAGGGGACCCGCGCCGGGGACTCTGCAGAGGTGGGACAAACACACGGCATTCTGGGACTGACTGCTTTAAAAAACAATGGGTGATTCTTCAGTTAGGAGAACTTTCCAGTTCCCGATGATTCTTTTAAAGAAAAAAAATGTTTTAAAGGAAAAATTATCGTAAGGTTTTTTTCTTTCTCATTATTTACTTCTTCCTCATTTTTGAAATGTAAAATAATAATGTAGAAATGTAATATAATAAGCTCTATACATTTATAATAAATGTGTCAAATGTGTCAAAATCACAGCATTTTCACTTTCATTTCAATTTGAACTGAGAAGATAAAAAAAATATTTTGGTGTTTGTTTGTAAAATTTTAGGATAGATAAACAGACAGACAGACAGACAGACAGACAGACAGACAGACAGATAGATAGATAGATAGATAGATAGATAGATAGATAGATAGACAGACAGACAGACAGACAGACAGACAGACAGACAGACAGACAGACAGACAGACAGACAGACAGACAGACAGATAGACAGACAGACAGACAGACAGACAGACAGACAGACAGACAGACAGACAGACAGACAGACAGACAGACAGACAGATAGATAGATAGATAGATAGACAGATAGATAGACAGATAGATAGACAGACAGATATATAGACAGACAGAAAGACAGATAGATAGACAGACAGACAGACAGACAGATAGATAGACAGATAGATAGACAGACAGACAGATATATAGACAGACAGACAGAAAGACAGATAGATAGATAGATAGATAGATAGATAGATAGATAGATAGATAGATAGATAGATAGATAGATAGATAGATAGATAGATAGATAGATAGACAGACAGACAGACAGATAGACAGACAGACAGACAGAAAGATAGATAGATAGATAGACAGACAGACAGACAGACAGATAGACAGATAGATAGATAGATAGATAGATAGATAGATAGATAGATAGATAGATAGATAGATAGATAGATAGATAGATAGATAGATAGACAGATAGATAGACAGATAGATAGACAGACAGACAGATATATAGACAGACAGACAGAAAGACAGATAGATAGATAGATAGATAGACAGACAGACAGACAGATAGACAGACAGACAGACAGACAGACAGACAGACAGATAGATAGATAGATAGATAGATAGATAGATAGATAGATAGATAGACAGATAGACAGATAGATAGATAGATAGATAGATAGATAGATAGATAGATAGATAGATAGACAGATAGATAGATAGATAGATAGATAGATAGATAGATAGATAGATAGATAGATAGATAGATAGATAGATAGACAGACAGACAGACAGATAGACAGACAGACAGACAGAAAGATAGATAGATAGATAGACAGACAGACAGACAGATAGATAGACAGATAGATAGATAGATAGATAGATAGATAGATAGATAGATAGATAGACAGATAGATAGACAGATAGATAGACAGACAGACAGATATATAGACAGACAGACAGAAAGACAGATAGATAGATAGATAGATAGATAGACAGACAGACAGACAGATAGACAGACAGACAGACAGACAGACAGATAGATAGATAGATAGATAGATAGATAGATAGATAGATAGATAGATAGACAGATAGACAGATAGATAGATAGATAGATAGATAGATAGATAGATAGATAGATAGACAGATAGATAGATAGATAGATAGATAGATAGATAGATAGATAGATAGATAGATAGATAGATAGATAGATAGACAGATAGACAGATAGATAGATAGATAGATAGATAGATAGATAGATAGATAGATAGATAGATAGATAGATAGATAGTAAAGAATCGTCGCCAATACAATGTTATTACAGTCATTGCAGAGAAAAACTTTTATTTACAAAAATTAAATAATATGCAGAAAGTGTCTCCATCAACGGCTCTTGACTGAACTTGTGAGCACTGTTGTGTGTGTGTGTGTGTGTGTGTTTGTGTGTGTGTCAGCTGACGCCCAGGGCCGCCCGTGTGAGTTTGGTGGGCGTGTGTATCAGCACGGCGAGGACTTCCAGCCCGACTGCAGACACCAGTGCATCTGTATGGATGGTGTGTTGGGCTGCATGCCTGTGTGTCCACACCACATCCCTGTGCCCGACACACACTGCACACACCCTCGCCTGGAGACGCCACCGGGCCGCTGCTGTGAGGAGTGGGTGTGTGAGCATCAGAACAGCATCAGGGAAGAACCGTCGGACCCCCGTCCTCAACACACACCGTACAACCACATCAGCAGACTCTTACAGAGCCCTGACAGCCCACAGTCCACCAGGGGCTCTGTTCAAGGTATTACACTTCTACGTTTTATACGTTTAAATATGTTAAAGTCCCCCTGAAGTTAATCATTATATCCCTTAAAACTCATCATTAATCACCAAAATGACATATTTAAAAAAAATTCCAGTGAAAAAAAACATCTTCATGCCTTAAAATATCTTGAATGTAACTCGACACCCTTGCCTCATTTAGTATACGCGGTTCTATGAATATGCAAATGAGCCCCGCCTCCACTCACCAGTGTTGCCAGACGTACGATAATTATCGTATTTGTACGATAATTTTGACCTCTGTACGATGTATGATCAATAATGAAAAAAATCCCAATGTACGATAATTTCTGAATTTTGTGACACTTCAATCGGAGGTCATTGTAATCATAGTGCTTCTATACTCATTGATCTAGCTGTGGATCTACGTCATGATTGTGAGGAGAAAGTGAAGGTGAGAGAGCAGGGCAGAGAGGGAGAGAGCGAGAGACCTTGCGTGTGTGCCTCACGAAAGCTACATCCCCCGTCAACAATCCAGACTAAAACACATCTATAGCCTCACATACTGACTTTATTTGTAGTTCATACAGTTTTAATACCCTGTATTTTCTTTCTCATTTTTAGGAAAAGCACTTAATTAGGTTACCATTGTTTATTTCTATACCAAATGTCGTACACTTGCAATGAAGCTGAAAATATAAACAACTACATCATTATGTTGATGAGCTTGAAGACGTAGATGTGACGTGAGCAACTTGTACGTCTTCTAGTAGCTGTGCCAAGAGGAATCTGAATCATTCCCTTCCGAATCTTGCAGAGCCGGAGAGCGTGAGTATTAGCTGTCCATGAGCTCGCAGCAGGAGCAACTTTATGACTCTCTATGGGCTTCTCCCTTGACTTTATGCCTCCACGTCCCCCCGATTGCGCGCGAGCTTCTCCTTCTGTCTATACGGTAATTTCTCTACTGTGCGACAGAGAGTCACGTGTTATGACGCAATCGTTAGCCTATTTTTACAAAAACGGCTTCTACGGGGCCATAATGTAACATAGAAGGTAATGGAGCCTTTTATACATTGTCGTGTTTCTTTAGAAATAAACAATGGACAAATGGAGTCTTTAAACGCCTCAGATGTAAAGTTATTCGCTGTCAAAGTGACGCAAAAATGAATGGGAGTCAATGGGATGCTAACAGCAGGGGCATGTTCAAGATCACAACGGTGCGCAACGTTTTGCTACGGTTTCCGGGTTGAACGTCATGTTTCCTGGAAACGGCGTGCACCGGTGTGTGTGCAACGGGGTTTGAGATGCGTTTTCTCTTGTTTGGTGGGCGTGTCAGAACTGCAGTCCAATCAGCAGCAACATGTATATAAAGCACACGGTATTAAAGAGAACTCGCACAATGGAAGTAATTTACAAATGTGTTCGATATGCAACAACTAAGGATATTAGAAGACATGTTTGTCGTAACTATTATTGTAAAAATATAGGATATCAACATAACGATGTAGTTGTTTATATTTTTAGCTTCATTGCAAGTGTGTGGCATTTGGTATAGAAATAAACAATGCATGTAAAGTGCTTTTCCTAAAAATGAGAAAGAAAATTAATAAAACATTATGAACAACAAGAATGTGAGGCTAAATAGATGTGTTTTAGTCTTTATTAGGTAAGATGTGCTTCCATTTCAGTTTCCACAAATCCCTTCACTCGATTGGGATGTTCTCTTGTGTTCTGGGCGGCAAGCAGTAACTGTAACATCGGGCATATTTTGAAGTATTAAACATATTTATACCGACTTCATCAGGCTCCGAAAATTCTTCACAAAGAACACAAAAAGCCTTCTCAGCTGCCGTAGTTGCAACTCTTGCGTCATCACAACAGTGCGTTCAACGCATCACCGTTTCTGTTTAAAGCTCCAGTCGGCAAGTCTGGCAGATTGAGTGGATTTAGGAAAATTTTGAATGTTTACAACTCTCAAGCCCCTTCCCCACTATAAACGGATACCCTCCCACCCAGTTCATGCTCGTCAGTGCGTGTGCACCAGATTTTCAGTGAACGCCAGGACTCTCAAGTGTCACGCATTGAGCGTGACAGTCACTCATTTCGGTCTTTTGTCACGCTCTCCCGCCACACATTGTATTTCTCACGCTGAAAAACTATTTGAAATATATTTAATATGCCGCAGCGCCCAAAACTCTGGCCGCGCCGCTCTCACTATGGAACCGGCATGAATCAAGCGTGTTTCCTCTGGTGTTGTTCGTCGAGCTACACAATAGCCAATCAGAAAATAGCACTATTTTCACTCTCTCCATCCCTATTCACGATTTTTATCGAACCCTTAGCAGCAGCTATCCGTCAAAACCCAGCAATCAAAGGTATTGAAACACCACAACAAACACATAAAATCTCACTTTATGCAGATGATATCCTACTATATATACAAGAACCCCTAGCATCTACTCAAGAAATAATTAAAACAATCCAGTCCTTCTCAGAAATATCAGACTATGCAATAAACTGGAACAAATCTTCCATCCTCCCTTTACATAAAACCAAATGGGATGTGGCACCCCATCAATCACCAATATCTATATGTCATGATCACATCACTTACTTAGGCATTAAGATTTCCTCCAGACTGTCAGAGTTGGTAACACTCAACTTCACACCACTGCTAAAAAAAATAGAAGACGATTTGCTCAGGTGGCTCAACCTTCCAATCTCCATAATCGGCAGGATAGCAGCAATAAAAATGACGATTTTACCGAAAATTAATTACCTATTCTCAATGATTCCAACCCACCCCACACTCACCTGGTTTAAATCACTAGACTCCATTATAAATCGCTTCTATTGGAAAAATAAAATACCAAGGATAAAACTCACTACACTACAAAAAAGTAAGGTTCAAGGAGGACTAGAAGCACCAAATTTCCAATATTACTCAATGGCTAACCAACTGCAATACATATACAAATGGATTCACCCCACCCAATCTGATATTATATGGCTAGATATAGAACAATCACTATGCAAAGAATTAAATATAGCTGACATACCGTTTCTCACCAAATCAATTAAACAACACACATGTTTTAATGCAGTAACTATAGCCGCCACTCTGACAGCCTGGTGGAAATTTCACCAAATCACAAATTCTACATTAGCTCCATCTAACCTCACCCCACTATGGAACAATCGTGACTTTATAAGCAATAAAAAAACATTGAATTTTCACACATGGGCGGAAAAGGGTATCACCCACATTAAGCATATTTTCAAATCTAACACATTTAGACCATTTCCGCAACTGGCCCAGGAGTATGGCATCGGGAGCAACAAATTTTTAAAATACCTGCAAATCAAATCTTCTGTTCTGACAAAAATAAACATCAGAGACACAAATTTAGAATCTCCACCGGCAATATCAGACTTGGTCAACATTTCCTCCCCAAAGAAACTCCTCTCTAAAATATACAAAATAATTTCAAACCAACTTCAGACCATACACTTACCAACAATAAAATGGGAAAACGATCTTTCAATAGCCCCTGATGCCAACTTCTGGACCCAAATCTGTAAAAACATCTATCTCATGTCCAAAAATGCGAATCTTCAGTTAATACAATACAAAATACTTCACAGAACACATTACACGGGAAACAGATTAGCTAAAATGGGTTTCACATCAGAAGTTTGCACACATTGCAATCAAAATTCTACAGATACATACATCCATGCAACCTGGCACTGCACTCCAATCAAACACTTTTGGGAAGAGGTCACACAGTCACTATCCACTATAGTCGGCTGCCACATCCCACTGTCGCCTTCTCTTTGCTTGCTGGGAGACCTCACAATAATCACTGATAAAACTATAAACTCTAAAATACTCCTCATAGCTCTAACCATCGCCAAGAAAACTATCCTCATGAACTGGAAAACTAGAAATAAATTACACATTAACATTTGGAAAAATCTTATTACAGACTTCATTGCAGTGGAATACGCATCTCCCCTTTATAATTACGCATCTGAAACTGACCTCTGCCATCCAACACTTTCTGACCTCTTACAGCTATGAATCCTTTCTCTGTTTTCAACTCCGACTCCTCCCACCTTCTTAATCAACCCACGAATATTAATGCATTTTAGTTGTTGGAACTTGTTTGTCATCATTGTTATTACTATCTTTACTGTTATTGTTATAGTTACTATTTTCACTTTTATTTTTTCATTGTTGTAATTGCTGTTGTTGCTGTCTTTTGCTTTCACCATTGCGGTCGCCACTGCCATCATCATTGTCTTTTATTATTAATATTATTATTATCATAATTATTATCATTAATCTTGCCATTGTCAATGCTGTATTGGAATTAAGTGTCATTGTCATCACTACTGCAAGAACTCCCCCCTTATCTCTTCATGGGCTTTTAATGCAACACAACATAGAATAGAACAAAAAAAAAAAAGGAATATGTATGGAAAACCTAACAAACACCAAGGCAGGCAAGACAGGCGAGAAGTGGTTTCAACGGGACAGCATCTCTGTCCCAATTTGAGACACTCTCGCACTGTACTCCCTCTTTTAATGCACCTTAGACATTGCACATAACACAAAAAAAAAAAAAAAAAAAAAAAAAAATTAGGAAAAGAGAGGGACTGATGAGATGTGGGGGAAGGTTATCTTATATCTTATATCATCTTTTATTTTGTGCAGGATTGACAATGGCAGTTGTTACATAGGAGGTAGGATGGAAATAAAAATCGACCAACACAATATTGGCAGTGTGGTGGTAGTGGGGAGTAGGGTGGTGATGGTAATGACAATGGTAATAGATAATAAATGGTTACTTTGTTTACGCATACACACACATACACACACATACACATACCCACACTCACACCCGCTCACATACACACTTAGATCAAACACTTAAATCACTTTTATGTCACTTCTGGAATTATGGATTTACAAGATTTATGGATTGTTGGTTTGTATGTATGTTTGACTGTAAAAAAAAAAAAAAAAAAAAAAAATAGCACTATTGTATCTGGGTAAGATTTAACGCAACAACCAATGACAAAAATGTATCCAACCCCCCGTCGGCTGGGTGTCACTCTTACCTGTCTTCAAAACTTGAGAGCCCTGGAACGCGCCCGTCTCATCAGCATCCATCAACACCATGGAGTATTTGGAGGTATGCTGTCCTGGCTAATCTACCGATAGATTGCAATTGCTAACGTCATTTATACTCTAAATGAGCGTACTTGATTTTCCGCCATCACTCTTCGTTACTGCGCGAACTTCCGCGAACTTCAGGCGTGTGCATGTGATTGTAACGTGCGTGAGGGGTGGCGTGTGCCCGATCTGTGATTGACAGTCAGATCTCACACCCGCTGCGCTGATTGGACATGATGAACCGGGAGCTGTGGATTTTTGCAAAACAAATAACACGCTCCAGGTGGAGTTAGAAGCTCGGGTTTTTTTCTAAAACCACTTTATTTATGTTGTTCTGTCAGATTATAGTGTCGATTTCACTGAATATGATCAAAAAAAATTTGCCGACGGCAGCTTTAAAAAACGTTCTTCAACGTTTTGTCGGCGCTGAACGCAGCCCAGGTGAAGGCTTGTTAGCCAATGGCGGCGCCCGGGGAGACTTCAGTTTCCGGCTGGTGGATTACCCCCTTGGGGTTGCACACCATAGACATCTGATATCTATGTTGCACACCGTTTCCAGGAAACATGACGTTCAATTTTGGAAACCGTAGCAAAACGTTGCGCACCGTTTTGAACTTGAACGTGCCCCAGCGATTTCAAACCGTGTTTTTGAGACTGTCTTTGGTTCACTGCAGTTTTAAGCAGAAAATACTCAGCAATGCTGTCAACTTATGAATTTACACATGGCTTGTCTTAAAGTGAATTAAAAACACCACATAGACATATAAACAACATTAAAAGCTGGATTTTTAGCAATGTTGTTGTGTTTTGTAATTTTTGTTAGTTGTTGATTTTTTAAAAATATATAGTTTTTTTCATTTTTATTTCAGTTTCAGTTCTAGTTATTTTAGTGCATCGATTAAAATGAAACAAAAATGAGAAATGTGGCCTTGGCATCTAGATGAAAAATGTAACGAATGTTCACTGAAGGCAAGTTGAAGTGAGAATCCATGTAACAAAATACAAAATAAACAAAGACCTGACTTAAAACGTGACCTTAAAGTCCCCCTGTGGTGAAAATCCAGTTTTTAATGTTGTTTATGTGTCTATATGGTGTTTTTAATATGCTTTAACACAAACAATGTGTAAGTTCATGAGTCGACAGCATTAGTGATGAGTATTTTCTGCTTAAAACTGCAGTGAACCAAAGACAGTCTCAAAAACACGGTTTGAAATCGCTGGTGTTTCTGACGTCACAAACGACCTTGTAATCAATTACAGTTAATTCGAGTTACATTCAAGACATTTTAAGGCATGAAGACATTTTTTCACAGGAAAAAATGTTTAAATATGTAATTTTGGTGATCAAAGATGAGTTTTAAGGCATACAACTATTGACTACAGGGGGACTTTAACTTTTACCAGTATGCAACTGTCTAGTAGCCACCCAGAACCCCCTAGTAACTACCCATAATGCCCTAGCAACCATTCTGAACACTTTAGCAACAGTTAAAGTACCTTAGCAACCACAAAGGTGAAATGTTTTCTTTATGACTTTGTTTTCTCATTTACGCTGCAGAGTGGGCGTCTGTGCCGGTGTCTCTGGTCCCCTTCCCAACATCCCAGTGTTTCCCACAGACCACCGACTGGTCCGAATGTTCTGCTTCCTGCGGGTTTGGCATCTCAAGTCGTGTGAGCAATAGCAATGCACAGTGCAAGCTGGTTAGAGAGACGCGCCTTTGCCAGATCCGAGAATGTGATATCACGCCAACTATAAAGGTGAGATATAGTGAAATGAGTAGACATACTGTACATTCAATCATCTATATACCCATATACTTTTTTCTTAAGACTTCCACAGAAGATATACTTTGTGTTTGTAGACCACTTCTATTATTGATTGCTATTAGGATGTAAAGAGAGTTTCAACCAATATAACTAAAAGTGCATATGAAAAACATTGCCTGCCTTACCTTTAATATTGAGTAGCTTATAGTAGCCTAGTTTCAGACAAAATTCGTCCAGTTAGTTCACATATTTCTCCCAATTACAAATATTCCAGAAAATGCCCAAGACTCAATCTTTGCATGTCACTCAAGGCAACACTTTTTAATCTTTTTAATGCTATTAGAGCATAAGATGTGAGAGTGGCAAGTCTGGGATGCCTGAAATAGCTGACGTGTTGCAAATATGGCCGCCGAGTGAACAGACCTTCCTTGAAAGGGACTCCAAACAATCTTTGAACATGAGAAATATTAGTGTACCTTAAAGTCCCCCTGTGGTGAAAATCCAGCTTTAAAAGTTGTTTTATGTCCATGTGGTGTTTTTAATATGCTTCAAACCAAACCATGTGTAAATTCATAAGTTGACAGCATTGCTGAGTATTTTCTCCTTAAAATTGTTTGAAATCGCTGGTGTTTCTGATGTCACAAACGACCTTGTAACCAATCAGATCAACGTGTGATCGTCAACCAGTGGATCTCTGAGCTGAGTGAGTGAGTGGAGGCGGGGCTCATTTGCATATTCATAGAACCGCGTATATAAAATGAGGCGAGGGTGTCGAGTTACATTCAAGATATTTTAAGACATGAAGACATTTTTTCAAGGAAGAAAAATGTTAAAAAATGTCATTTTGGTGATCAAAGATGAGTTTTAAGTGCTAAAATTATTGACTATAGTGGGACTTTAAACTTCAATCAAACATGATAACCGTTTTACAAATAATGCCTTCGCAAAGGTATTATGACTCTCATTAATGGTTTCCTGTTGCTTTGTACTGTCATTCAGAGAGGAAAGAAGTGTCGACGGACAGTGAGGTCTCGGGAACCAGAGCGGATCACGTTTGCCGGCTGCTCCACGGCTCGCCGCTACCGGCCTCGTGTGTGTGGCGTGTGTGTGGATGACAGGTGCTGTCGGCCGTCCGCTTCCCGAACGGTGCGTCTGCGGTTCCTCTGCCCGGGCGGAGAGAACATCACACGTAACGTCATGTGGATCCAGCGCTGCCGGTGCAGCAGAAGCTCCTGCAGGGCTCAGAGAGAGCGTTCCTCGCCCACCGTCAGCCTTCACAACGACACACACACCTTCTCTCGCTGATGGCTAAAACTCACTTTTTAAAGGGTTAGTTCACCCAAGAATTAAAATTTGCCAGTTACTCACCCTCAAGTCATCCTAGGTGTATATGAGTTTCTTCTTTCAGACGAATACAACCAGCGTTACAGTATATAAAAAATGTCCTGGCTCTTCCAAGTTTTATAATGGCAGTGAATGGCTGTTTCTGTTTTAGTCCATAAAAGTGCATCCATCCATGATAAAAGTGCATCCATCCATGATAAAAGTGCATCTATACATGATAAAAGTGCATCCATCCATGATAAAAGTGCATCTATACATGATAAAAGTGCATCCATCCATGATAAAAGTGCATCTATACATGATAAATGTGCATCTATCCATCATAAGTGCATCTATACATGATTAAAGTGCATCTATACATGATAAAAGTGCATCTATACATGATAAAAGTGCATCTATACATGATAAAAGTGCATCTATACATGATAAAAGTGCATCTATACATGATAAAAGTGCATCTATACATGATTAAAGTGCATCTATACATGATAAAAGTGCATCTATCCATGATAAAAGTGCATCTATCCATGATACCATGATGCACTTTTATCATGGATAGATGCACTTTTATCATGTATAGATGCACTTTTATCATGTATAGATGCACTTTTATCATGTATAGATGCACTTTTATCATGTATAGATGCACTTTTATAGACTTCAAAACAGAAACAGCAATTCACTGCCATTATAAAGCTTGGAAAAGCCAGGACATTTTTTAATATAACTCTTGATTGTATTCGTCTGAAAGAAGAATGTCATATACACCTAGGATGACTTCAGGGTGAGTAAATCATGGGGTATTTTTCATTTTTGGGTGAACTATCCCTTTAACACTCAATGGATGTCTCCCGTTCTCAGGGATGTTTCCTGAACTATAGAAGAGTAAACTTCCCGCATTTCTGCTCTAGATTTGTATACAGTTATTGCACTTTATGTATTTCTCGTTTGCTTTGGCCTGTTCCAGTGTGAAACATGTCCAGGTCATATTTCCTGACAGGTTTTCGTGAGATTTGCCATATACTGTCCTCATAGGCACCTGATATATTGTTGTTTCCACATCTTTCTGCTTTTATTTATTCTGCTGTCTTTAGCTTTGAAGTGTTTTATTGTATCTCGAAGGATAAGTGAATTTATTTGGCTTCGGATGAATGACTTCCTGGCACTCGAATGTTAAGAAAATGCACTAGTAATGAGGGTGGTGAGATTGTGTCACAGATATTATGTACATCATTGAGTGAGTTATCTATGGAAACTGTTCCGACACAGAATAAAAAATAGGCTTAAAAACTTTTTTTCCTAAAATTGCGAGATTCGCAATTGCAAGTTATAACATCAGAATTACAATTAAAACTCGCAACTCTTGACTTTACTTCTCGCAATTCTGACTTTATTTCTTGCAATTCTGACTTTATTTCTCGCAATTCTGACTTTATATCACGCAATTCTGACTTTATAACACGCAATTAAAATTTTATAACCTGGAATTCTGACTTTATTTCTCGAAATTCTGACTTTACAACTCGTAATTCTGACTTTATTTCTCGCAATTTTGACTATAACTCGCAATTCTGACTTTATTTCTTGCAATTTTGACTTTATAACTCGCAATTCTGACTTTATAACTCGCAATTCTGACTTTATTTCTCGCAATTCTGACTTTATAACACGCAATTGCGACTTTATATCAATCAATTCTGACTATTTCTCGCAATTCTGACTTTATTTCTCGCAATTCTGACTTTACAACTCGCAATTCTGACTTTACAACTCGCAATTGCAACTTTATATCAATCAATTCTGACTTTACATCTCGCAATTCGGACTTTATAACACGCAATTGCAACTTTAAATCAATCAATTCTGACTGTACATCTCGCAATTCTGACTTTATTTCTCGCAATTCTGACTTTATTTCTCGCAATTTGCGACTTTATAACTCGCAACTCTGACTGTAATGCAATTCTGACTTTTTTCGCAATTGTGAGACAAAAAGTCAGAATTGTGAGATAAAAAGTCGCAATTATCTGATATAAAATTTTAATTGTTTTATTCCCTGGCAGAAAACAACCTTCCATAGTTACCCGATTAAGGGGTAAAATGAAGATAAGACTTTTTTTTAATATAATTTTTTGCTTTTAAACTAATATATTTTCGGCAGAGTTTCTACTCTGTATACAGATGTCTTTAACGAGTTTGTGTGTGGAGGAAAGCATGTGTGTGTGACGGAGACTCGCGTTTGTCTTTTGTACAGTGTACAGGCTTCACTACTGGTGGAGTGACACTTTGAGACTGCTTCATTTTTCGGGGCATACTTTAACTTTTAGACGCTCTCTTGTATAGGAGTGAACGACTATATGCATTAAGATGTTGAATATAAATGACTTTGCTGATCAGTTTGTGTCACAAAAAATAAAACATTTTCAGGAAAGACGCTTGTAACTGATTGTTTCTGTGGTTCTCAACTAAAGCACCTCAACAAACTTCAGGAGGACTTAAAATGATTTAAATTAAGTTAAATGATTCTAACTTAGGCCTGGTTTCACAGACAGGGCTTAGATTAAGCCAGGATTAGGCGTGCCTCAGAAAAAAATACATTACTGGTGTGAATCTTGAGACAAAACAATGGCACTGATATATTTTAAGACATGTCAGGGGAAGTTGCTTTCAGGTAAAACAGCTCAAACATGCATTTTAGTCTGGGACTAGACCTAAGCCTTGTCTGTGAAACCGGGGGTACATCTTTTTTGAACTGTTGTCTTATTAAAGAACATACCAAAACTAGATAGCTGGGAAGCATTAAAAAAATAGTAGTTATTGATTAGTTAATAGTGAAGTACCACTTTCATCTGTGCGCTATTACTTACTAGTTCAGAGTTTCTTGTTAGTTAATAATAGTTACTATTGTTAATATTGTGTTACTCATTGGTTCTTGTGTAGTTATTCATTAACGAAGGAACCGTATTCTAAAGTGTTACCTAACTTTTAAATAGATAATGAAAGGCTTTTATTTTTGGACTGTTCCTTTAAACTTACTTTATATCTAAGAGAAAAAGACAGAGAGAGAGAGAGAGAGAGAGAGAGAGATAGAGAGAGAATGACTGTTTGAGGTCTCTCACTTTTAAGCCCCGTTCACACTAGCCCCGTTCACACTACACGCGACCAAGCGACGCGATACCATTCATTTCAATGGTGAGCGGGCGACTTCCGGCGACACACGCGACAGCGACCGTTGGCGACTAGATGGGGCGTGTCTAGCGACGCGACAAAGTTGAGAAATTTTTAACTTTATGCAAATGAAGAGCGATTTTCGCGAGCGACCACCAATAGGAGTGGAGCGCACGTGATCCTTCTCCTCAGCCCCTGGGCCTGCAGTGATGGATGGCAAGAAAGCTGATTCACTGTCTTTTGGATGTCATACTATTTAACCAGTAGTGGGAACGCCCACTAGCGACCTCATCGCCAGCGCCTGGCGATTTGCAGCGACAAAGTCGCGTGTAGTGTGAACGGGGCTTACAAGCGACTTTGTCGCTGCATGTCGCCAGTGGCTGGCGATGAGGTCGCTAGTGGGCGTTTCCACTACTGGTTGCCTTTATGAATGACATCCAATGATGTGGAGAAGGATCATACGCGCTCCGCTCCTATTGGTTGTCGCTCCCGAAAGTCGCTCCTCATTTGCATAAAGTTAAACAGATCTCAACTTTGTCGCGTCGCCAGACACGCCCCATCCGGTCGCCAACGGTCGCTGTCGCGCGTGTCGCCGGAAATCGCCAGCTCCCCATTGAAATGAATGGCATCGCGTCGCTTGGTCGCGTGTAGTGTGAACGGGGCTTTAGCCGGCTTTCAGATTCCTCACTCACTCTCCTCCGCCAAGCTGTCCTTCCTCCATTTTATCCATATGCATATTGCCCTCGATCATCTCTTTATGCAGTTTAGAGGATCACTAAAACCCAAACCACATGAAGGCCGGTTCACACTGAGGACGATAACTAGTCATTCTAAATATGAAAAGCAGTCCAGCACAACTACAATGATAATGACATCGATGGAATCACTTTCAGAACGTTTTTTTCCTGCTGAAGAACCATAAAAACATTGACAGCCAATCAGAATCCATCTTGCTTTACAGCGCGCGAGCATTTAAAGTGACAGACGGAAACACTGCAGCGAGCCCTTATAATAAACAGAACGATATTGTCTGCTGGTGTGGAAACAAATACAGTTATATCTTTATCTTTATAATAGTGTAATAAAGGGCCTTTAAACGCGTAGCATTACTCAGTGTGTTGATGTAATTTCCACTGAAACGGGAAGACAGGGCGGGGCATATCGAGTAGCTCCTCCCCTTTTTTAGAAACAGCCAATAGTGTTTAGTTTATATCACAGCTCGGCCGTTGACCAGCAGTTTCCTCCTAATCTCCCGTTTCTCCTTGTAATCTCCTCCATATCGCTTTAAAATATAGTATTATGTGCAGAACTCAAAGGGTGCGATACGTTTTCTGTTCTGAGCGACTCGATCACATGATCCGCTCTGTGTGTCGTGTCTCTGGACCGAAGCTGTGGCGATTCGAGTGACACGTGAATCCAGACTTCATCCGCCCCGATGGAAAGCATATTCACGTTCCATGTCCCCTATATAGTGCACTATGTGCCATTCACCATGTAGAAAATAGTAAAAGTGTGAACAAGTGACCGATTTCAGCCACAGCTTCAGCGTCTCTCTATAGTGTAGGGGGCGGGGCTTCAGATTCTAGAGAGCATTTGATTGGACAGAAAATCTGATGAGAAACTGAAGTGCAGAGTGATGTCATCAAAATCTTTGATCCTTATTGGTGGAAGTGAGAGACTGTACGTTTTGAACGCTTATATCTTCTAAATGTGAATTTTGTCATTATTTTGGAGCACTCTGGCTTATAGATAACAGTAAGGCTAACATATTCATACTAAAAGCCAAAAAACGTAATCTCATGGGGACTTTAAGTCTTGTGAGGGACCAAGCAGTTAAGCATGAAGCTCAAAAGTAAAAAAAATTATTTCCCCAAAAAAATCATTACAACCAAATAAAAATACATTTTTGGGCCTATAAAAGAGGTCAAATAAACAGACGGTAACTAAAGCTCTGAACATAAGAGACTCAAAAATACAACTGACCTCCAACAAAAGAAACAAAGGGAACTTATATATTGGCTGATCAAACCAATTTTGACACACAAGGGAAGACTAACAACAACACTATACATGACAGAAATAACTGCAAAATCGACCCAAACACTTATTACAAAAGAAATGTACTTTTACTTAACATTAACTAAACAAAAATACTCATATAATATAAATCTAAACCCCAAAATATCTAAAAAGAAAATAAAGCTAACCCCCCATGTGGCCATCACAAGTCTGAAAACGTATGAAAACTGATAACGTATAAAACGTATTCTTCTTAACATTTAAAGCTGCTATTCAGGATATGGACAGGAATTTTAAGCATGTTATAAAAGGATGGTTTTTATGAAATAAAGGTTCATAGAACTGCTTGCCATCGCCATGGACACAAGCCGGATCGCTGACGTCATCGCTGATGTAAAACGGGTCTGTTTGCTTTAAGGGCCTCACATCCTAAAGGAACTTGTTTGCCAAGTCGGAGTAACTGATCTAGAGACAGCTCTTAGAAGCCACTGTAAACTTTAAGATATGTACCTTCCCAACAACAATCTCCAAACAAAGAGAAAAGACGCCATAGTAGCACAATTCGTGACATTAAATAGCAGTGGACCTTTGGGTTTTAGTGTCATGTGACACAGTAAAGGATACATAGCAGCACTTTTCATGAACGGTTCACATAGTGCTTTAAACTCCTGAAAGGTCTTTTTCCCCTCAATAAAACGTTCAGAAAATTTTGTTTATCCACCTCAGCAAACTAAATGTTTTATGAGCCGTTTTCTATTCATGTTATGTTTATTTTATTATGTTTACTACAAGGTGTCACAGTTTTAAAGAATATTCCATTTAAAAATTAAAAAGTGTTTATGGCGAAATGGAACACATAAAACTAAGGGCCAGTGTTATTAACTAAAACTATCGTAAAAATTGTTTTTGTTTATTGAAATAAATGCTGCACCCGAAATCGAATACTCCCCTACTATATACTGTATAGTATGGCAAAAAAACAAAACAAAAAAACAGTAGCCTATGCGTGTGCATATGATGGACACTTTACAATCCCATGAGGCCACGGGAGAGGGTTTATGAATGGCAGTGAAGCGACGCAACTGACGCTGGTAGGTCACATGATAACAACAACATGGTGAATTTCATTCATACTACCCATATTCATACAATATTGCAATATACGTATAGCCTATGTCGCAAATTCAAATATAGGCCTACCGGTATATGGTACCTACTCAGACAATACGATTTCGGACGCAGGGAAAGCTGTATTAACATAACATAAATATTATCTACATGAAAGACTTAAAGTGCCACCACTATTAGAAAATATTAGAAAATACATCAATGATTAATCATACTACTGAGTACTGACCCATATTTCATGAGCAAGCGTTTGTCTTTTCTAGTGATGTAGAAACAGATTCGAAAAACAAACGACTCGTATTGGCGGTTCAATTCTTTCTTTTGGGAGACAAACTTTATTTATCGTGCAATTTTACAACTTTGCACAACGTTTACATTCACAAACAGTTATATTACACACTGAATAGGCTATTCTAAAAACCATAATAGAGGCACTTTAAACTTACACAATTAGAAATCCTGCCTTGACAACTAACTGAAGTAAAATAAGTTCATGTTAAAGTACTACAATCACTTAAAAAAATCAATCAGGTCCAGGTGGCTTTGGGTGGAGCGCAGAGAGTGAAAGAGGAAGATCGACTAGCGAAATGTGAGTTTCAGCACAGATCTGCCAGAGGAACTGAAGTGTCTGAAACCAGAACAGAAGAAGGCCATGGTTAACGGCTAGCACACACACATTCAACTTTCACCACAATAAATAACATGAATCTCAGGTTAGTTAGCAACAATGAGCATAACATAGGCTACTAGCCTGTATAATCTCACATTAAGGATAAATTAAGACTTGGTGGAACAGTAAAAATACTTAAAAAAACTAAAATTAAAAAGAAAATTTTTTTTTAAAATGGTCAAATAATGTTAACGTTAAAAATCGTCTACATCTACAGTCTGCGCTTTAATTCGTTTGGTTGGAAAACCACTGCGTCCCCATTAGCATACTATTAGTCCTAAATAGCTAGTATTCAGAAATGAGAATCATTGTGTCCCAAATCTAGTAGCCTATGTTGAGTAGCCTATAAATCGTATAATCACTTTTAATAATAAAAATGTAACGCTAACATTGCACACAACTTGGACTAGGATTCGATTAGAACTACAAACACGAATAAAAAGTGTTAAAAAAAAACTACAAACATGGCGGGTGTGCGAGTCCGACGGTGAAGTGCAGAGGTAAAGAGGTTACATTTATTCAATGTTATCCGCATCATATTTAATCTGCAACAGCATTGTGAGCTTTATTTTTTAAAGATACGTTTGGTCATTAACTTTTAAATGCATTATTCATTTGCAATTGCAAACTGTAAACACACGCGGAGAGTCTCCGAATGGAAGACCAGATCAACGTGCTACCCTATGCTAACTCTCTCTGAAACGGTAGGAATTTAAATGGTTTAAGTCAAATTAAATTAAGTGTGGATGATTTTAGCCGTGAAAGATGGTTGACATAGCAGTTTAAACGGTGAGAGGAGGAATGCAACTAAAACGACAGAGCTGTCCGTTAAAGATAACGAAGTAGTGTGTCCCAAAGCTTGCCCATACTCTTCTGCTACACACTCAAAAGTATGTACTTTTTCTTCACAAAAACAGTACTTTTAGGGCATAATATAAGTATAGGACGCGCAGCACAGGTATTCAAACTTAGACAACACTGACCTCTAGTGGTACACACAAGAACATACCAGTGCAAAAGTACAGTTTAAAAATGTAACCCTCTCTCCTTGTCTTCAGTGAAGGTTATGAATTCAGAATATAGGTTTTATGGCTGTTATTAATCAAATATAATCGATTTTAGAGCTGTGGTTCTCAACCAGGGTGCCGTGGGCCACTAGGAGGTCTCAGCAAACATCCAAGGCTGCTGGATGATTTACCATAATTTTAAATATCATATAAATTATCTTAATAATAACTTAATATATTATTAATAATAATATATTAAAACAATCTATATTAATGTGTTGAAACAATTGTGTTGGACTTACGGGGAACCAGTGTTTCAGAATATTATGCTAAGGAACACGTGATGACGTAAAAGAGCCCTGACGTAAAATAATCACCAAATTAGTATTTTAAACCGGTTCTTTAAAACGAACCGTTCAAAAGAACCGCTTCCAATAAAGGATTCGAACATCCAGCCGTTTAACCGAAGGTGGTCTGCATTTTCAGTACGGGGTTTTCAACTTGACCTGTATTTAAATTAGTTTATTTTATCTATAAAACAGTTCTGCAAATAAATAAATAAATAACTATGATGTCATCATCCAGCTCGGTTCAGTTCTCATACAACAACGGCATCAGTACAGTCAGATAATATTGTTGAACATTAAGTGTTTTCTTAATTACTTTCATTAGGGTTACTTGATAAATATGTTTCATTAATCAGTTTTAAGCGATACATTTTAAAATATATATTTTTGTAAAGTGTTTTAATAGGCACGTGACAGACAAATAGCTACAGTAGGCTAAGCCACGCCCCTAAACGATCAAACCTATCAAGGGGAAGCGCTGCTCTGTTACGTCACGCCAACGATAAAAAAGACCCGCGACGCGTCCGTCGCTCGTTGAGCTTGACGCGACGCGGGTCCTGGATGATGAAGTCGCTCACGGAATAAGGTCTTGTGTTTGGATGACTGTAACTGATTGTCTGCTGCACGATGCAACGGGACCAGTAACTTTCGCACACGCTGTTCATTCATTAACAAAGCGTCGTTAATTAGAGCGCGTGAGCAGAGAAGGACACACACACGCGCGCGAGGTCTAGAGGAGGATAATAATAACTTCACATTTATAAAGTGTTAGAGCTCACTGGACTCTGGAAACTCATCGAGGTGAGTCGCATCCTTTATGTTCACAAATTGAGTTGATATTGATATCGATTTGCACTATAAATTCAAGTTGACGAAGTTGCAATGTATGAGCTGAGAATTTAAAGTTTAAAATGCACTGGATTCATCAAGACATGGTCATGTATCGTTGCATTAAATTATATTCTTTACTTATGACTTATAGTTATTCTAGATCGATGTAGAAAGAATTTTTTCACCATATATATATATATATATATATATATATATATATATATATATATATATGTGTGTGTGTGTAGTTAAAAATATATATTTTATATATAAATATTTTTTTATAAATGCAGAAATATTATATATATATATATATTAAGTATGTGTGTGTGTACATATATGCATTTTATATAAAAAATTTAAATATTGTGTATATATATATATATATATATATATATATATATATATATATATATATATATATATATATATATATTCTTTTATAAATATATTTTATAGATATAAATATTTTTATGAGTGTGTATATAAAAAGTAGGTTTGTATATACAAACCTACTTTTTAAATACCGGTATGTATATAAATATTTATACACTTATATAAATATTATATACGCACACACACACACACACACACACACACACACATAAATACATGCATATATAATGCCGAAGTACTGAAAGCATTTGTTTCGTCTCGTTTACTTACTGAAGTACTCTCTCACTCCAGTTTCATTAATGGACTTAGTCTGCCATGTTTATGTTGTCTATTGATTATGGAAGTCCATACTGTCTTTCAGATGCTTGGATATAAAATGTCTCATTTTATTTGTTTATTTATTTATTTACACACATTAACTTGTCTTGATGTAGACAGACAAAATGTAATATTTTTGTCAAAGGAAGCAACTATTTCTATTTTCCTTTACCGATTTCAACTCGTGTTTTAATCCGGGTGTAATCCATTTTATTTTAAATGATTTGCACTCCTGGGAATCCTCTCAGATCTTTAGTGCTTTGAACATCTAGAAAGACATGACTATATCCACAATATGATTATGCTGCACATACACTTAATCATGTTTAGCGTTACAGCCAACAAATATTCATTCATCGGAAGTACAGAGAAGTTTTATTCAGGAAAAAAAACATATTGATCGACCACTGTTATGAATATTGGGAAGGAAGCGTTCGCTTTATGATTGTTCTGGCCCATCAATTATTGGAAAAATTGGTATTAACTAACATGAACTAACAATGAGCAATACAGTATTTGTTCATCTTTGTTAATAAAAATCCAGCTGTTCGTTGTTCGTTCATGTTAGTTTACAGTGCATTAACTAATGTTAACTTATACAACTTTTGATTTTAATAATATATTAGTTAATGTTAAAATGAACATTAACAAAGATTAATAAATGCTGTAAAAGAGCAGTTGATTATTAATCATGTTAACTAATGTAGTAAACTAATGTTAACTGATGAAACCTTATTGTAAAGTGTGGCCAAAGAATTCATCATCAAAACAACTGATTCACATACAGTTATAGCGTCTGATTATGTCTTCTGATTTAAAAAAAAAGAAGTTTTTATTGCAATAACAATAACATTGGGGGAATGCAGAGCAAAATACTTGAATCTATAAAAAATTAAGATCACAATTCTGTATTTTGTATCAAAAAATCAATCATGCATCTAATAATACATCAAGTATCCTTTTCGACAGCTGAGATGTCTTTACAGCTTCACCATCGCTCTGTGTTGAAGTCAGAGAGCCGGAAAACTGGGAATCTCAGAGTAAAACTGGGAATCTCAGAGTAAAACTGGGAATCTCAGAGTAAAACTGGGAATCTCAGAGTATTACTGGGAATCTCAGAGTAAAACTGGGAATCTCATCTCGGAGTAAAACTGGGAATCTCAGAGTAATACTGGGAATCTCAGAGTAAAACTGGGAATCTCAGAGTAAAACTGGGAATCTCGGAGAAATACTGGGAATCTCAGAGTAAAACTGGGAATCTCGGAGAAATACTGGGAATCTCCGAGTAAAACTGGGAATCTCAGAGAAATACTGGGAATCTCCGAGTAAAACTGGGAATCTCATCTCGGAGTAAAACTGGGAATCTCAGAGTAATACTGGGAATCTCAGAGTAAAACTGGGAATCTCATCTCGGAGTAAAACTGGGAATCTCCGAGTAAAACTGGGAATCTCAGAGAAATACTGGGAATCTCCGAGTAAAACTGGGAATCTCCGAGTAAAACTGGGAATCTCAGAGTAAAACTGGGAGTTGTGATAAAATATGATGCACATGTTAAAATATGATACACTGGTGCTTTGCCAGATGAGAAGTTTATCTATGTATCATCTTTTAATTCATTTTATAACTGTATCACATATGTGACCCTGGACCACAAAAAGCAGTCACATGGGTCAATTTTGGAAATTGAGATTTATACATCATCTGAAAGCATCATCAATGGAAAGCTTATTTATTCAGCTTTCAGATGATGTATAAATCTCAATTTCCCAAAATTGACCCATGTGACTGCTTTTTGTGGAGATATATGCACATATGTGATACAGTTATAAAATGAATTAAAAGATGATACATGGATAAACGTCTCATCTGGCAAAGCACCAGTGTATCATATTTGTTAGGATAGGACAATATTTGGCCGAACTATTTGAGAATCTGGAATCTGAGGGTGCAAAAAAATCTAAAGATTGAGAAAATCGCCTTTAAAGTTGTCCATGTTCGGGATTGTGCTTCATTCACTCACAATTTTATATATATATATATTTACGGTAGGAAATTTACAACATATCTTCATGGAACATGATCTTTACTTAATATCCTAATGATTTTTGGCATAAAAGTTTACCCCATACAATGTATTGTTGGCTAATGCCACAGATACAGGTGAAACTCGAAAAATTAGAATATGGTGCAAAAGTTCATTTATTTCAGTAATTCAACTTAAAAGGTGAAACTAATATATTATATAGACTCATTACATGCAAAGTGAGATATTTCAAGCCTTTATTTGTTATAATTGTGATGATTGTCTTACAGCTTATGAAAACCCCAAATTCACAATTAGAATATTGTGAAAAGGTTTTCATATCTGTAATCCATAATCATCAAAATTATAACAAATAAAGCCTTGAAATATCTCACTTTGCATGTAATGAGTCTATATAATATATTAGTTTCACCTTTTAAGTTGAATTACTAAAAATAAATGAACTTTTGCACGATATTATCATTTTACGAGTTTCACCAGCACACCCGTCGACCTGTGCCTGGTTGTGTGATCCAGGGTCACATATCTCTTTTAATTCCTTTTATCGGCTAACGGTTTTAATTTTCCCTGCTTTTATTGTGTGATTATTTTAATTCCTTTTGAATTGCCATAGTGTGTGATATGACGACTAAAGGTGTGTTGCCCCCCTCAGCCTCTGCTATGGTGAACAGCCAGGTTGCGGGCGGTGTGTGTGTGTCCAGGTCGTGCGCGGGCTGCGGGGGTCGCATCGCGGACCGGTTCCTGCTCTTCTCCATGGAGCGCTACTGGCACACACACTGCCTGAAGTGCTCGTGCTGTCAGGCTCAGCTGGGAGACATCGGGTCGTCCTGCTACAGCAAAGGAGGAATGATCCTCTGCAGGACCGACTACATCAGGTACGGGGTTCGTTTAGGGTGTTTCCACACCGGGACAGTCCACTAGTTCACTTGCTTTGGTTTGGTCCGGACCAAATACAATGTTGATTTTTTGTTTTTGTTTGTTTGGTGTGGTTCGCTTTCACACTGCCCTTTTTGCGAGTGAACCAAAATTTGTAAACAAAACCACACGAGTGCTAAGCTCATCCATTCATTGGACAGATTTTCGAACCGTACCAGTTTTAGGGTGCTTTCACACCTGCATCATTTAGTTCGGTTGAATCGCACTAGAGTTCGATGTCCCCCTTGGTGCGGTTCGGTTGGGCCGGTGTGAATGCAGCGATCGCACTCGGGTGCGCACCAAAAGCGTTGGTACTAGGGCTGGGACAACGCGTCGACGTCATCGACATCGACGCAAAATATTCGCGTCGATTCGTCAGACCCAAAACAAAGACGGCGGCGCCGGAGAGTAGTATAGCAACACGAGTGGCTCCTCAGACTTTCAGAAGTGCAAGGCTGTCATGTTTTTGTGTCTGTTGGATTTATTACAGCACGTGAATTCATCAGTTTCTCCTGAAATCCATGAAAGTAAGTGGCCGGTGAACTGGGAGAAACTATAAATGTATTGTTTTACTATAAATTAAATGTATTTAAATGTCTGAAACCTAAAATAAACATTATGTGGTTAAAAACACTGAACAGTTGTGATATAGCCTATGATGACAAGCGCTGAGCTCCTTAGTGCTCAGCTGCTGCAGAGCTGCCGAAATCGAAATTGCTGATGAGATATAGAGGAAAATAGGCTATCTAGTGCAAAATGAGAATGTTACGAAAATAAGAATGCATTACTTTGCACTTATATAGTCTTTTATTTTGGAATTTTAAGAGCAATAAACATATATTGCAATGTTAAGGAATTCATGTTTTTTTTTTTTTTCATTCAGATATGTAAATCAACATGTATAAAGTGCTATTAGTCAATTAATGGGGAGATAATCGAATCGGACTGGGAAAATGAATCGTTAGATTAATCGATGCATCGAAAAAATAATCGCTAGATTAATTGTTAAAAAAATAATCGTTTATCCCAGCCCTAGTCGGTACGCTTTCAAACGAACTCTGGAGCGGTTCTGTGGTGAGAACGTGATCCGACATCGAACAGACCCAATCGCCAAAGAACTGCGCATTTTTGGACTAAACCAGCTGCCGTAGTCAAACAAAACCATTATTTAGATTGTCAATAGCGCTTCCTTTAAGCCACGACTGACTCCCGCGTTCTGCACTCTCACTGAACCTCTCCTCATGAACACTGCAGTTGTCCACACTGCACAGGGAGTCTCTTATCTATATCGCGTCTAGACTGTGTTGTTTATGAGGGGATTTGCGAAAGGATAAACTCGTGCTGATTCTGAACTCACACCGTGAGCGACTTCTCGGCATGTCTGCCGGATCTCCCTCCTCTGGGTTCACTTCAGGAGTTCTGTTGGACGTTTCCCGCACGTTAATTCTGACCAATCGGAGTGCAGTTGTGGAAATATGTTCAAGACACATCTGGCCAATGAGTGATGTGGATGTTGTCAAGTGACTGCATTTTGGTTCGTTTCATCAACTAATTCAGACCAGAGCGATCAGTGTGGTGTGAAAACGAACCAAAACCCCTGAAAATACTACAAAGTATAATTTCTCGCCCTTGGTCCGGACCAAATGACCCGAACTACAGGTGTGAAAGCACCTTTAGTTTGTAACCGGACCGAGACCACCTCTTCAGCTGGATCTCAGTTAGAGCGCTTTGAGCGCTGTTGAGCGGAATCATAAACCCCTCTGATTGGCCGTAGTGTTCACGAGCTCATCGGATCTGTCTGTGATTGGCTACAATGATCAGCTCACGGAAGTGTTTGAAAAGTGCTTTGAAAGCACGCGCAGGACCGGTCCACTGATAGACGCCTGATTTCAAACGCCCGCGTGTGTGTCTGTGTAAGCGCTCGCTGAAGAGCGTCACTGATGTATATTTTTGTGCTGTCAGTTAAACGCGTTATTAACGGCGTTAACGCAAACCCATTTTAACGGCGTCAATTTTTTTATCGCGAGATTAACGTTCTTTTTGGCATAGCAAACTTTGTAGTTTTTTTTACATGCTGTAACAACAACTAGTAACATTAGAAAAACTACAACACCACACCGGATCTAGCTTGACCAGAAACAAAACGACAGGCACGCCGCACACACTTGTTTGGGCTTTTGAGCCGGCCAAATAGTAGTAGGGTAACGTTACGTTTTGAGCGGATGACGAGCGCGAGACGCCGAAATGGATGCCAATAAGATTCTAAATGGATAGTTTACTTTTAAAAAGTTGCCAAATGTTTCCATTGAATTCGCGTCAAACGCACCAAATGCACCAAATAAAATCATTAGCGCATATCGCGCAAGGCGCTCAACTCGCGTCATTCTTGGAAAATGGACGCGCGAATGAGGCGAATTCACGTCTACCGCACCGCGCCGCGCAAAAACGCCAATAATGGGACATTAAATGAGAAAAAAAAAAAAAATGTAAAATGAGAATAAAATAATGGGACAAAAATAAATCAAGGGACATTTAGAATAGATAAAAATGTGCGATTAATCGTGAGTTAACTATGACATAAATGCGATTAATCGCGATTAAATATTTGAATCGTTTGACAGCACTAATATATTTACAACATGTTTTTGAAGCGCTGATCATTGTAGCCAATCACAGACATATTTGATGAGCTCGTGAACACAACGGCCAATCAGAGGCGTTTATGATTCCGCTCAACAGCGCTCAAAGCGGCACATTTTTTCATTTCAGACAGTATCGACTTGGTACTTTTGACAACACTAGTCTCGGTCCGGTTGTTTGGTCCGCACGAGTGTGTTGCTGTATTCACACCTGCCCATAAGAAACCAACTTCAGTTCGATTCAATCAAACCAAACAAGATAGGTGTGAATACACCCATTGATTCAACTAAGATTACAAGACATTTTAGCTAGTTTTAAAAACAGAGTATTTCTGTATGGCCCAAGCTGGGATCCTAGCTCAGAGGTCATGACCTTTTCAACTCCATCCAGCAATTCATCATATTCAATTCACATTTATTTATATAGCGATTTTCACAATACACATCATTTATTGACATAATCGGATGGTCAATTATTTTGTTAAATCTGGAAACAACGCTTTTATAATGCATTTTTAATGTTTTAATTATGCCTTGTAATTTACATATTATAATAATGCATTGTATGGTCTCATGAATAATCATAACCACAGTTATTATGCTTATTGTTACACCTTTAGAGAGTATGATGCATTAAAATGAATTCGAATTTAACATTTTTAATTGCATTGGTTTCAGTTATTTATGAAAAGATTCAATGCATTATTTATAACACACATTATGAATACCTTTTATAATGCATTATATATAAAGGCTTTATTATATAGTATTTTAATGCATTAATTATGCCTTGTAATGCATTGAATGAGAGTATAATGCTTTAAAATGCATTACAGTCAACCAATTTCAAGTGTAACAAGGAATCTGCAAATATTTTAATGCATTTGAACTTTGATTACAGTTATTTATGAAAAGATACAATGCATTATTTATAACATACCTTTTATAATGCATTATACATAAAGGCTTTAAGGAAAGTGTTACCATAAATCTCTTTAATTATTAACTACTTTTAATCACTTAAAAAAATGTATTCAACATATATTTATAAAAGTATAAAAATATAATAGTATACACAAATATAGTTTTCTTTAAAATTGTGACATCCAGGGAGTAACATAATTTGGACCTTTTCTAAAGCATAGTAGAATAAAAAAATAATTATATTGCATTTTCTCGATTATTGTTGTACTTAGGGTTAGGGTTTGTTTTTAAGGTATAGGTTGCATGTAATTATGCACAATTTATAGTTATTACTCTAGTAACTACATGTAAAATGTGTAACAATGACACTGTAAAATAAAGTGTTACCCGTTTTTCTTTTCTTTTGGATCTTGTAAATAAGTCTATCACTTATTGCAAACTGATCCTATGGAGCTATACCATGATTTAGGTTCAATTTGTAGCCCTGTTACTTGTAACCATGTTTACATTTTATTATTATTAATAAATTATTATTATTTTTTAAATTGTGCAAGTCTGATTAATTGTTTTGTCTGTTTAAATGTGAGGTTTATTGCTAAAAACACAAGATCGCAGAAATCAGGGTGTTAAACTGTGTGTTTAGACATGCGCATAATATCAGTAACAAGGTTGACAATATAGAAAACCACATAAAAAATAAACATAACATAGTTTTTTTTGTTGAGCCCTTAATTTCTACTCAACTAATATAACTTCTAAGAACCTAATTTCACAGATCAAGCACAAAAATCCTGTTTGAAATTGCATTGAAAGTCATTTAATTGCTCATGAACCATAAATTCATCAGGTAGTCTGCAAAGTTTAAAAACTCATCTCACACTCACTTAAAATACCATGAATTGATTTTAGTTTTAACAACTAATAATGAGTGTGAAAAAGGCTTTTAACTCATAGACCCGTATTGTTTCTTTTTTTCACCTCCACATTTAGCAGTGACCACGTTCAAAATCGTAATCATTATAACAAAGACGCAAGTCGATAATGAGACCGTTTGAGACGAGAGTCTCCAGTCATTTGCAATTCAAAAGTTTTCTGAAGCTGTGGTTGTCATGCTATGCTGACGAGCATTTTGTTCTTGTGCTGATTTGCATCGGTCTCATTTGCATCCAGCGGGTGTTGATGATCTGCAGATGCGTTCTCTCTCTCTCTCATGCTCCCACAGACAACATCAGATCAGTCGTAGATGCGTCACACACCATCGTTTAATGTTAAGCCTGGTGTGTGTCAAGTCATAGCTGCACTCCTGCAATAAAGCAAACGCAATTTGTGAAGGATTTTCAGTGTGTTTCTTCTCGCTCATGTGTTGCAGGTTGTTTGGGCACACCGGGGCTTGCAGCGCATGTGGTCAGTCCATTCCCGCCAGTGAAATGGTCATGCGAGCGCAAGGCAACGTCTACCACCTCAAGGTCGGTCACGTGAAGCCTTTAAAGGGCCAGTTCACCCCAAAATAAAGATTCTGTCATTTACTCACCCACATTGACATGATTTTCTTCTGAGGAACACAAAAGATTATGTTTGGGAGGATGTTTTTGTCCATACGATAGGATAAAGTCATTACACTTTGTTTTAAGGTGTCTTTGTTCTAGTCTAATTTTACGTTTAAGTACAGAGTAGCGACATATATCACTTTAGGGTTAGGAATGGAGTTTGGTTTAGGGTTAGGCTGCACGAAATATCAAAATTATCATGCAATCGAGATATGCATATCACAACGGCTTGAGATAACCGCATGATTTTAACCAAAAAGTCCAAGTTTTAGGTTGACACCGAGAGTAGACTGGACACGTGACCGTTACATACGTGTGACATGCTTAATGTTATTAAATGCAATAAGCGAAGGACTCGCGCACGCATAGGAAGCCGCCTCACGGCACATGATCCCGAATTCAGTTCTTCTACCCAAAAACACACAATTATGTCAAAATGCCCGTCTTGGTAAGTTTTCACATAATCCCAGTCAGTTATGTCTTAATTAGGGTAAACGGTTGAGAAATAAAGCGCGTGTGTAACAGTATATTGTATCCGTGCAGCTCTTAAAGTGACAGTAGCGTAATAAACCTGATGCTGTCTGTCAGTAATGATAATCAAACAACAAAAGACGGAGAGCAAACCACTCACTTCTTATGATTGAAGGATTAATCTATGTTTAATTTATGCAGTGAAGACTGTGAAGTATTTAATAACTTTATTACATTTCTGTATGTTCCCTACCTGTCAAAAAAATTGTGATTTATTAAACAAACAACAAAAAAATTGTGTAGCTTTAATAAGAATCAGTATATATTTAATTCATACAGTGAAGAATAAGCTGTTTTATTTGTACATTTGATTGTTCAATTTGTGTAGGCTTACTTAAAAACCTTAAATCTTACACTGACGTAAAAATGACACTTAATTTTTATTTAATGAACTGCTGTTTACTTTCAGGAGTTGTAGGGATGCTTTCTCCTCACACAAAAAAAATGTGAAACATGTATGTTGGTTATTGGTACAGTTTTTAAATGCAATTATTACACACTTAAAGCATTATCATATCGGAAATGGAATATTGCATTGAGTTATCGCATTTGTCTTCGATATCACGCAAGCCCTAGTTGCATGTAATTATGCATAATTTACTGTTATTACTACAGAAATTCCATGTAACGTGTAGAACTGTGAAATAACATGTTATCTAATGGGGTCCAATAATTGTATAGACAAAAAAAACATAAAAAATTAGTTTTATGTTCCACAGTAGAAAGAAGGTCATACAGGTTTCGACGACATGAGGGATAACAGAATTTAAATTTCTTTGGCGAACTCCTACATTTTGTGTGTTTCTAAATAGCAGATGCTCATTAGAGCTGAATTAAATGTGTGAAACATCATTATTTATTTATTTCTGTCTCATAATAGTATGCTACAATACATCTCTGGATAAAGCCTAGCTATATTACAGCTTCTCATAATAATAATAATAGTGTTCTCATTTGTTTAAAATTTAACTGGCCTTGGTTGCACAATTATCAACTTATTAAAAAATAATTTTGAGCACTGAGCCAAGGCATTTTTATATTCAGGCTAACGCTGACTAGCAGCTCTGCGTGCTTTAATAAAATGCATTGCTAATAATTCAGCACTTAAAACAAAGTAAAGGGGATAAATGTAGTCATTCCTCTCTCTTCTGTTCCAGTGCTTCTCCTGTGCGACGTGCAGAAACCAGTTGGTCCCCGGGGACCGATTCCACTACGTAAACGGCACCATATTTTGCGAACACGACCGGCCAGGAGCTGCACTTCTTAATACTCACTTGCAGAGCAACCCAGTCCTACCTGACCAGAAAGTGAGTGCATGCTTTTATTTGACTCTTTAAAAATGGACTGCATTTATATAGCGCTTTCACAGACCCAATGGCCACCAAAGCGCTTTACATATTGCCTCACATTCACCCAAGTCAATAAAGTCAATATGGTGCAATGCATGATTTTGGTCTTTTGTGTGTAGGCCATAACCAGGGCCATAACCAGCCAAATGTGTGTGTATTTCAGCAGTGGTGTGTAACGCCGTCACTCCGATTAGCCACTTTGGTGGCTTGAATTTTCTATATAATATGTACATTTTTTAATTCTAGTCTTTTAAAAAGGCATCTAAAATAATAAACTAAGTGCAATGAAGTGTTGTCAAAAATATAGATTTTTTTCAATGCATATCAGTATGCTATCTGAGACGCTTCCAATACTCATTTTCCACAGAATAGACACACTATGCCAGTTGTGCTTTCTCTCTCTCTCATCTCTCCGACAGTAGTCGCGTTTCCATTACCCTTAAAATTGCGCAAATTGAAAATACGCCCAATGGAAACATGTCAATTTCGCAAAAACTCCCATTTATCGCACAGAAGTTTTTACGCTCACATGAGGAGGTTTTACAGGCAATTCAAAAAAGGAATATTTCACAAAACTGCAATAGAAACAGTGTTTTCGCATTTACAGGTCACCTGACGTACGTAAAAGTCGATCATTCTTTAAAGATGGCGCGGTGTGTTCGGACAGAAGACGAGGCCGAGTTCTTCGTTAAACTCATAAAAGACAAAAGTATTACGGGAATACTGGATTCTAAACAACAAAGAAATGCCACAATTTCTCAAGAGCTTGAAGCAGAAGGAGTGAGAAACACTCATAAGAGCCGCTCACAGTATAAGAGTCTTTCCTTGCCATTAATGCTGTGATAACACGCCTACGTCTCCTTCAGTTAATAATAATGGCTAGTGCGGCGGCTGCGATATACGTAAACCTACTAACATCGTCGGCATGATGTTTGGAATGACTTATTGTGAGAGGAAAAAATTACGTTTAGTCGCATAACATCGGATAATGGAAACACTGTCATTTCGCAATAGTGTTTTATCGATATTTAGAAAATATCGCAAACGTTTTTCGCAAATCTGCGATGGAAACGCAGCTACTGAGTGACACACAAACCCGCCTCCTTTTACTCACTCATTACTCACTCATTTCATTTGCTCCGGATGAAATTTGTTGCTGTTACAGGGCTTGAGTTTCGCCGTGGGATTGCGAGTATTGCGCATAATTTTACTCATTCCCGCAGATTTTGTGCTCACACCCAAAGAACCGCACATAAAGCCGCCTCTCAGTGCTAAACTAAGTTGTTTTGCGCTGCTTATTGCGCTTAAACAGGCAAAAGGACACAAAATAATGTCAAACTGCCAGTCTAGGTGAGTATTCACGTAAACACAGTCATGTTTTAAGTGAAAGTAAACACTTGCGCGTAACAATGCGATTAATCGCAATAAATTCATCCGATTAATCGCGATTAAATTTTTTAATCGTTGCCCAGCACTAGTTTTAAGTGAAAGTAAACAGTTGAGAAAGAAAACGCATTTGTAACAGTATTATAGATCTGTGCGTCAGGTCTTAAAGTGACAGCAGACTAATTATGAGATGATATTAAAAATATCTATATGGCAGTTTTTCGCAAAAGTATCGGTCAAAATTGAAAAAGTTAATGTCAAGCCCTGAGTATAGCTATTAAAGTGTGTCATAGTGGATGAACATGAATTTTTAACAAATCTTGTGTTTTGTAGGTTTGCTGAAGCGCTCCTCAACGTCTTCGCCTCTTCCTCTCTCTATTTACCCTCCAGTGTGCTTTTCATCACTGCCATCCTTCAGGCACCGACACTCTGACGCACTTACAGCTTTACAGCCTTCATTTACAGACTTAAGAGTTTCTTTGTGAGCGAGAACGAGTTTGGGATGGAAACATTTCTGTGTATCTGACTGTGGTGAATTCTGATGGTGATATTGTGGCTTTCTCGCCCCCTGAAAACAGAAGTAACACGTCTTTTTACTCACAGGATATCCTGTCTGTCTCCCATCTAACCTCACAGAGAAGACTTCATCTGAGAGAGCAATGAAGTCAACATTAAAACTGCGTTCTCAAACTATTTTTTATTCATGTGTCTGATTTAAACATGATATTCATCCAGAAAAAAATGTAGGGCAGGACTTAAAGAAATAATAAAGACATGCTATTACAATCTAAAATGGAGTCAGGCTGTTGGAGAAGTTGAAAAGTAAGAAAGCTTGTGACGTCAGCTGGAAAAAAAAAATATCTTAGAGGTTATTACATTTTTTTTTCTCCCTTTGAAAGGGTAAAAAAGTTATTTTTACTTATGATATTAAAAACCCAAATTCAATAAACACCTTATTGATGATGCATACTACAGGTGAAACTCGAAAAATGAGAATATCGTGCAAAAGTTCATTTATTTCAGTAATTCAACTTAAAAGGTGAAACTAATATATTATATAGACTCATTACATGCAAAGTAATATATTTCAAGCCTTTATTTGTTATAATTTTGATGATTATGGCTTACAGCTTATGAAAACCCCAAATTCAAAATTAGAATATTTTGAAAAGTTTTTCATATCTGTAAGCCATAATCATCACAATTATAACAAATAAAGGCTTGAAATATCTCACTTTGCATGTAATGAGTCTATATAATATATTAGTTTCACATTTTAAGTTCAATTACTGAACTTTTGCACGCTATTCTCATTTTTCGAGTTTCACCTGTATGTACGAGCGGACGAACCCAATAATATAAATTAGTTTCTCGTTAAATGTTTCCCATAGAAAAGCATTATAAAGAAAACGCCTAACCATTTAGCACGTTGCATTCATATTTTGTGCTCATCTGATCGCCTGTATATATAATGCATCATTTAATAAGCTGTATATTGAATTTTATCTTTTAATTTAACTGTTTTAAGGCACTTTAAGTGTTTTTCACGGTAAAAACGTCCTGCTGTTTTGACTGAAATACTGCAGCAGGTGCTGGATATGGAGCACAACGGCACAATTTTGTTCACATATCATTGTTTTTCTCCTTTTGAGATGGAAAACTAACATTCCTGTGCTGCAGTTCTGTGGATGTTTCGCCCTCCGGGTCACATGACATGACTGAACACTATGAATAGCGACGTGTGAAGCACAGATCACACAGAAGTCGCTTTCTGTTGGGGAAATCTCACAGATTGCTATTAAAATAACTGGATTTCACCGAGCAACAATAAAAATTAACACCTAAAAAGTGCATTAAGAAAATAAATTGGGTCAATGTTGACATCAAAAACAGTACATCCTTTGGGTGTAGAATTGTAAATATGTTTTTTTTTTTTTACCAGTACTCTCTGTAACGGTCGAATTATCTGCTCAACATGTGATGTCTATTTAAGGTGTAATTATCCAATAAATGGGAAATGCAACAAAACCCAGTCGTCAAGAATGAATTTGTTGTCCCTTTTTTATCCTCCACTGTTCATTGTTTATTGCTCTCTCATTAGTTATTAGCGCTGGTCTCTGTGGTGCAGACGTGATTACCCAAGGGTTGGTGTGAATAGGGCTTGAGCTCGGACCATTACAGAAGCAATTAAATGTGAGCGTGGAGTGTGTAAGTTCATTGTGAGTGTCGTATCTGTGCCGGTGTATCACTGGGGAGGCTGAACTCTGCTCTGATCCTGTGTTTGAGTTTAATAAGGCCTAATCTAACGCCTGCTTAATTAAGAGGCAGTCGCTGCTTTCCGTTCACTGCCTCCAAACAATCACACAGCGTTAAATGTTTACCATGTCACAATTAAAGTACACAGACACACTTCTTCACCCCGTCTCCTCCTCACAACCTCCTGCCCTTCAGGAAGCTTACAAACTAGCGGGAAATTGCTCTTCTCGCGTTTAATCGACACGCTGAAATATTATTTTTCAGAAACATACTTTTTTGTGGAATTGATATCCTGTTAATATATACGTTAACGTTATAAAATATATATAAATGACGTTAATAGTGCGATATTTTAGTGTGAATTTGAAGTGTTTCCCACGTCACAGAATTGTTTTGCGGTTGTATTTATACAGGTCAATGCCTTTTAAATGACAATAATTTGACTATTAGTAAACATGTGATGTTATTTCACTAGCTGAAAGAGATTTAATAGGGGGAAATGACTTTCTAACATACATATTGAGTGTGTGTGTGTGTGTGTGTGTGTAGCTAGTCATTCTAGAATTGGGGTACATTTCGAGTCTCCCAGATAAACCTTCTTTTATTAAATTTTTTTTTTTTTTATAATAACATAAATTATATTAAACTATCTCTAAAAAATAATGCTTTATGTATATTTAGAAAAAAAAAATTGGAAATATTAACTAAATGACTCCCACTCCACTTATTATTGACTCTGCCTCCTGATTCATACATTCAACTTGAATTATCATGAAAGTTAAGTCTAATTTTCAAATATTTTTTGTGTTTACTCTATTAAGTTATATAAACAATTACAAATAAATAATACAGAAAATATATATCCTATGCAATTTAATTAATAAAAAAAATAGATTTTGTGTCTGTCCCTATGTTCTGGTCAACTCTGTGACCTCTGTTATAAAACAAAATAAACCCTGAAGCATTTGTAGAAAAGCATGTGAATTGCACCAAGGGATGTCACTTCCTCTGATGGGAAATTCTGGAAAGCAGTGAAGTATGTCATTATTCTTCTCTCATTCATTTGTACAAAATGTTTAGGATACACCAATAGTAGATTACATATTTGTCAAATCTATTATTGTGATATTGTAGTGAATCTCTCATTCACTTTTTAAAAAACGATAATAAGGCGAAAACCCATAAAATTCTGTTTTTAGACATGCCATGTGGTATCTGGTTTGAGGTTAGCATTTTGAGCTAAAGCACAAAATGGTGGAAAATGTCAACTCTGTTATCGTCAACTCTGTTATCGTCAACCCAATTTGTCTATGACAGAGTTGACAGATTTTTCTGTATTGTACATTGATGTTCAGTCTTAATATTTTAAATCTTACCAGTTTAACATCAGCAAATATTGAAAATGTTGAATTTAAACTGCATTCTATGAAAATGAAAAAATGTTTAACAGAAAAAGACATTCCTATTTTTTTATTTTCTTTCTCTTGAAATGTACCCGCAATTGGCTTTATGCCACAGCTTCACTACTTCCTGAACTTCAGCCAGCCCTTTGTTTCCTGTCTGTCATTATTGGACAAACTGATTAATCCAGGTGTGCCTGGCCTCAGTAACAATAATCAGGCACACCTGGATTAATCAGTTTGTCCAATAATGACAGACAGGAAACAAAGGGCTGGCTGAAGTTCAGGAAGTAGTGAAGCTGTGCATAAAGCCTATTCTGGAATGACTCATATATGTACATGCATACACACACGCATACATGCGTATACACACACATTCATATATAAACATGCATACATACATATTGTGTCTATGTATATTATTTTGTGTGTGAGTGTATACATGTGTATATTTACACTGCCGTTCAAAAGTTTGGGATCGGTACATTTTTTTATGTTTTTGAAAGGAGTCTCTTCTGCTCACCAAGGCTGCATTTATTTGATAAAAAAAAAAAAGAAAACATAAAAAAATCTTACAGATCCCAAACTTTTGAACTGCAGTGTGTATGTAGAAAATGACTAATCTGCATTAGTCAAATTAAATGCGTTGTATTTTGCATTAATACTTTTTAATGTCTCATGACAGCAAAAGGCACCATGAAATTCAAGCACTGAATCTTGTAGGAAAGATGCGACGATACGTTCTGTAAATTAGTGAGCTCCAAAATGGCACCTTAATGCGCTTAGTTTTGTCCCCTGACGTCGGTGTAGGTGCTGATACTGCATCAATTATTTATTTCACATTCGATTGAAAAGCATCAGGCAAATTCATTAACGTATGCAAATGATCACAATTGCAATTATCTTCATATCTTGATAAGTAAGGAAATCAAAACCTCGGCACAATTTGAATCCCACCATGCCTCAACTTACACTCTGCATTCAAACCAATCAAGCTTCATCTGCATATTCCTAATTAACCACGCATATTCACATGCCAATTAGAGGGTCTGAGAAAAAAAGCCTCTTAGTCAACAGGCATTATCCTCTATCAGGAAAAGTTTGCAGGTGTATGAATTGCTATGCTGCTTCTGTCATGGAAAAAGTGTTTATACTTACTAATTAATCATATTAACACATGCAAATGAGTCTAATTGGCAGAGTTTCCATGCCTCACGCTGTGAAAAAGTGGGAGAGAGAAGAGTATGGATATTTTTACCAGCTACCGACAAAGAATATTTAGGAACTCTTTGTTTTTCTTCTCACACGTTGTGTGTCTAAATATCGCACAGGGCCGCTGTCTTCCATTTCACAACATTCGAGTGAAATACACTACTTATTCGAGTTATTCCACGTTTCTAATGCTTGCTGGGATCTCATCATGCAGGACCAGTTTCTTCTGGTCCCAGAACAACATTCTATCAGCTGTGGAGGAGCTTATTTCCACAGAATGAAAGATAAAAAAGGTAATTGCGACTTTTTATCTCACAATTCTGACTTTTTTTCCTCACAATTGCGAGTTTACATCGCGATATAAAGTCAGAATTGATTGAAATAAAATCACAATTGCGTGATATAAAGTCAGAATTGCGTGATATAAAGTCGCAATTGCGTGTTGTAAAGTCAGAATTGTGAGATATTAACTATTCTGAGGGAAAAAAAGTTTTTCTTAGAATTGGACTTTATAACTCGCAATTGCGAGTTTATATCTCACAATTCTGAGAAAAGATGTCAGAATTGTGAGATATAAACTTGCAATTATGTGTTATAAAGTCAGAATTGCGAGATATAAACTCACAATTATGTTATAAAGTTAGAATTGTTCGTTTTTTCTCTCGCAATTCTGACTTTATATCTCGCAATTCTGTCTTTTTTTCTCGCAATTGCGACTTTATTTCTCAGAATTGCGACTTTATTTCTCGCAATTCTGACTTCATATCTCGCAATTGTGAGATAAAAAGTCGCAATTATTATTATTTTTTTTTTATTCAGTGGCGGAAACAAGCTTCCATTCTATCAGCTACGGAAGCTTATTTCCACAGAATGAAAGATAAAAAAGGAAATTGCGACTTTTTATCTCACAATTGCGTGATATAAG